TTTGTTTTTCATGTCGAAAAGTACGAAACATTTCTCAGATTTAACCTGTAGAAAAAGAGAATATGTATAAAGGTAAAAAAAAACAAGAGGAGAACTGTATTATTAGTCGACGCGTTTCGTCCAATATGGATTTTCTCAAGACAAAAGCGAAATTAATTTATTAAAAACGAATTAACTATTAACAATAAACAAAATGTCTTTAGCAACTAGAAGAATTATTTTTTTGTATTTATATTTTCAACTGAGAATCCATTTCGTTTTTGCTTTGAAAAATTCCACAGTGGACGTAATGCGTCGGCTAAAAATACAGTTTTCCTATTGTCTTTTAGCTTTATATATATATATATATATATATATATATATATATATATATATATTTGTGTGTGTTTGTGTGTGTGTGCAAAACGTGTAACAATGATATTGTCAAATGTGATATTTCGTGATAGGTAACTGCAAGAATACCGACAAAAAGTTATACTTGATTTCAAACTATGCTTGCAAAAGAGAACACGCCGAGCACGTAGAATTATTTGCCTTATCCAAACATTGGCGTTAGTATTTTTTGCTATAAACGTGATGTTACTCACGCCTGACAACTAACAAAAGAAATCAATCCGCTATTGATTAATATCCTAATAGGGCTTCAGCATCACTCCCAGAGAGGAATATCGAAACTTACTATCTAAATTCGAAATTTATAGTCCAGTCAAATAAGCACTAATATATACTGTTATCTTGCCACAATTTCTGGGAAACAACGTTCTTATGATATTTACATAAATATATTAGAGTCCTGTTATCAGTCGGTCTAATCATCATAATGGCATACACGTTCAAAGATTAGTCTTCTTAATCATACAAATCAGATTAGCTGGCTCAATCAACCACAACATATATATATATATATATATATATATATAACAAATATAGGATTGGTGTATACGGAATAAATTCCAATAACCAACAAATATTCTTAAAAGAGTGATCAATACAGAGTAGAGCAAATATAATTATTTGATCGAAAATTATAACATAAATATTTTATAAAATCACTAAAAAATAGCCATTTTGTTTCAACGCTTCTGGTGTCTTATCAAGTGATGATTTTGAATGTAGAATAAAGGGTTTTAGAGGTTCAACAGCATAAGACACCAGAATTGTTGAAACAAATGGCTATTTTTGTAGTGATTTTATAACATATTGATGTTATAATTTTCGATTAAATAATTATATATATATATATATATATATATATATACCACATAAACATATGTCCGCATATTCTTCGTTTTTGTGTTAAAGTTTAAAGATTAAGGGAGAAGCTGTTAAATGTACGAACCAAAAATATTTGGAAAGAGTTCTTGAAACCAAAACTAGGTAAAATGTCAATATAAACATATGTCTATTCTTTTACGTCAACACAGCAAAGGAATGGTTGAAAATGTGCTCCGCTTGCTTCTACACACGCATGCATCATTGACTGGTGGACTCTTTCAAATACTCCACGCGTTGTCGAATCGTTTCGCGGGACACCATGAAATTTTGATTAAACGTCTCTCCATTTTTAATGTCTGCTACATAAAGCAATTGTCAAAGATGGCACCACTGACAAAAATCCAAATGTTTAAGTTCAGGAGAACGTTCAGGCTATGAAACTGGTCCTCCCCTACCAATTTATATTTTATATTGTGCATCGCGAAAAATGTGACGAAAATATGCTGGAGTCCCATCTTTAATGAGCCACAGACACATACTTATTAGTAGGGGTACATACTCTATCACGTTTGGAAGTGTGTATTCAAAATAAAATCTCTGTGGACAGCTCTTGTAAGACGTGCCGAGAATATATGGACTTACCAGGCAGTCACCTACAATATATATATATATATATATATATATATATATATATATATATATATATATATATATATATATATATATATATAGTAGTTTATGCAAAACTAGGTTATCCGTATTGGTAGACCCAAGGAGGATGATATCCGGAGAGCTCAATATAAATTCAGAACAAATATTTTTGAATAAAAAACAGACCACTCTAAAGTTCCATGTAATACATTATTTCACCACAGCCCTTTTAAAAGGGCTCTGGATCATCCTACTTTACTTCCAAAGGTTGAAATGAATATATATATATATATATATATATATATATATATATATATATATAATTCATCGGAAGCAGAAAAGATGAAAGATACTAAAAAAAAAACTAGAAATTGTAAATCTTTAAATGAACCTTGCTTCATATGTTCACGTGAAAAATTAGAAATTATCAAATTTGCTGAAAAAAAACCTATTAAAGAAAAGGAGTGAATTAACTGTAAATTGCCGGTAGTTTATCTTTTAACTTAAAATATAGTTGCATTTGTAAAAAATACTTATTACCATTTCTTATAGTTATAATTTATTAGTAAATAATTGTCCACTCTCTACGAATAATTAACTCATTATGTTTATTCAGCTTTAATATTGCTATATATTGCCGACCAGTTAGTATTATTAATATCTTATAGAATTTCCACATTTTTAATTTATCCACAGAAGCTTCCTGAATCTAAATATTCTAAAATTAAAAAATATATATATATTCTGTTGAAATTAAAATTTACGTGTGACTACCCTCCTACCACTCCCCACAACATCCTTTCAAAAACTGAATATGTCATATATGTCTACAATCACGATACATTTGCTGATTACATATTTTCCACAATTCTCAATTATGACCTGTCTATGAACAGATTTATTATGGTATAAAAAATAACTCTCCCCACATTCACACTCTGAGCTTACTTTTCTATTTAGTAGAGATCAGGCATTTAACTGGTTAATCAAAACATACCTACAAATCTATTTTTTAATTCTGATCTTATGTTCCCCTCCTACCTTTATCTTTCGAAAAAGAGGTAACAATGTGTTTTTAATTTTTTTTTTTTTAATCACTTAACCACCAGTTACTTACCATCGCCTGAAGAGGTACAATCAAAGTATTGAAAGATGAAAGCTTTTATGGAGCGATTTCAATATGTTTTTATTATAATCTCTTATAATAATAATAATAATAATAATAATAATAATATATTCAATTACTACTGAATAGTGAGTTTGATCGTCACTGGGTGCTCTATTGTTCCGGATTTGTGCAACATCTGCTCTACGCTTTCTCTCTACTTTAAACCTTGTGCCATATCGCGTCACCGTGGTGGAACGGTTAAATACTAAGCATATATAAGGCCAGGGTGGCACTTCGATGTCGTGTAATGGTTATCAAGTTTGTCCTCCTTGTTTATTTACGACTGAGTAATGATTTCGATGCTGACTGGGTGATTCATACTTTCGGCATCGTTCCGGATCTAAACTAGAAGGCTAGCGGGGCACATCGACGCGGTGCAATGTTTAGCAAGAGATGAATTATGACGGAGTTTGAGTTATGAGTGCGAGCCTCACTGGCTGCGCCTTACTTTCGGCTTTGTGCCACATCTAAGTTTTCTTTAGTAAATTACTAACACTTAACAACCTTATCTCGCTCGATCAATTACGACTGTAGTGAGTTCGATTCTCCCTAGGTGCCCCGATACTTTTCGGTCTTCCGCTAGGTTTATTAAATCGATAGTTCTTGGTGTAACTTTCAGCAAGCTTGTCAGTCATATACGTAACCATGCACAGGAAAAATAATGTGCCCAATTGCAGTAGAGAAAGGTGATTTGGATCCGGGAGTATGCAGTCGCAAGTACTTTGTCATATACGGCCTACTGTAATATATCGTCACTTACTGTTTGCCTGCCAACAACACTACGCTGTGTAAGAAAACGAGACACCCCTCGCAAATAAGGTGTGTTTTTAAGAAAAACATGTAAGCAATTTTCGTTTGCAATTTTTTGTTTATTGTTCAACATTCATCAAATTAACAGTCTCTGTTTTAATGTGCTGTAGAATTGTTTTTTTTTATTTTTAAATTACTTTCTTATCGCTTGACGACAGGTGTCAGAAAATGGCGTCGATTACTAACTGGAAAAGTTAAAATTCGTAATTTTAACGTTTTTACGTCAAAACTACGAATTTTCACTTTTCGCACCTCGTTGAAACAGAAATTGTTAATTTGATGAATTGTGAACAAAGTTAAACCGAAATTACTTGCACTTTTTTTTCTTAAAAACGCATTGAAAAACAACTTTTTCTTTTGCGAAGAGGGCCTTATTTTCTTACGCAGCCGTTGAAGTAGCAAGTAGCGTGTAGAATTGTTGACAAGTAGGTGGAGAAATATTACAGTAGGCCGTATATGACAAAATATTCGCGGCCGCATGCCCTGGATCTAAGTCCCACTTAACCACAGCGCGATTGGTTGTTTTAATGCTCTAAAGCATGTATAAGATCAGCGAGTATTCTTCCTAATCATCCACAGCTTATATAATGTCGGCGATACGTTGATTTAATCCTCCATAGCGGATATACGATCATATTTCCTGCCGAAATGTCCGTAATCAGTAGCTAGCCGGAAAAAAGTACATCTCTCTCAATCTGTTCGTAATGGCTCACCAGAAGGTCTCTGATCTGGAAGCTTCGAGGAGCGCGGAATCACTTATTAATTGCTATTGGTTGTCCGCAGGTCCACCCTGAGCCGAAGGTGGGTAGCTCCTGGTAGGATCCCAGGTATGGGAAAATAGTTGACCTTCGAACTGGAATCAAAACACGAGGAAATTATAAAAAAAAATTTACATAGACGTCTAAATTCTCATATGTGTATTTGTTAGATTAATTGATTGATTTATTTTTATAGCTTATCAAACTTTTAGCGGTTATTTAAAGACTTAGCACATTTTTAGAGATAATAAAGATTTTCTGATACAAGTTTTACCAGTAGCTAAGAGAAGGTTCGGGTTCATAACTTTCCAAAGTTTTATCCCCAACCCGACTGAAATTCGACCTTGGCTCTGTCTGATCTCAATCCCAGCCTTTACAATCCACCCGCACAACCAAATTTACAGCACCCGGTATTCTCAAACGGTCACCCATCGAGGTGCTGAACAAGTTCAAAGTTGCTTAAATTCGGTGATCTAACAAGATCCAGTGTTTCAGCTTGATATGACCGTAAGCCTACTTTTTAGATTAAGTTGCTTTTAAGGAAATGAAATTGTAACATGTAGAGAATAAACTTAACAATACATACAACATTTCTAGAAGCTATTCTCCAACGTTTGTGAATATATTAACTGGAAATATTATCAATAACTCATTTTTCTTCTTTGTGTTATCGATTAATTCTACAAATAGCTCGTTTTATATCAACTGATTTCCATTGTCCAGTGAGATGGGATGTGTCTGTTTTAGCTAATAATATAAGTTTCTGTACGTTTCGAAAAATAAATTTTCATCGTGTAAAAAATTCTTTCTTGGAATTGTTACTTTAAGGCCTATCCATTCGTTCTTTAGTTTGGATATGACATGCCATTTCGATTTTCGATACTTTTATTTATTCAACATTGATTGCCTTAATGACCTTCTTCCTGGGTAGGACGATAAACTTTATCAGGCAGCAAGGCTTCTGATTGGGTGGTTTTGAGGAACATGTAACCACATCTTAATTGCTGTTGTTCCAGGTCCACATCTAACCCGGGGTGGTAGCGCCTGTTAGAGTTCAAACTATCGGCAAATAGTTAATCACCAAATTATTGCCAAAACACTATGAAAGTATAATAGTACATTTAGTACATTTTCATAGTAAAAATGCCAGCAATATATGTTCATAGTAAAAAAAAAATATTACCAGCAATACATTTTTGAAAAAAAAATACCAGAAATGCATTTTTGGAAATTAAATTATTAATGTTCTCAAAAAAATTAAATTTCTGCATTAAATAACACTTAAGGTGTTGGAATGCCGCTGAACAAATAGATATTAGGGACTAAAGAAAATTCATGCTGGAAAGTTTTGATAAAAGTTAACATTACATTAAGAAAACTAGTTGAGAAATTATTAGAAGCATACTTTCTATCATAGTTAAAATTAACGAACAAGGTTAAAGTCGAAAGGGTAGGAAGACAATAATTTAATATAGAAGACTGTATTTGCATAAACTTTAATCGAACGAGAAACATCACCTCTCAAAGGGCCATAATTTTACTGGGAGAGGAGGATGAAGAAACGGGAGGCAACTAAATTGTAATTCTCCAGAAGGAAGCTAAGAATACCATCAACTGAAAATGTGAGTATCGACGAAGTTTTAATGAAAATGGAAACAATAAGGACACGTATACTTTAATCATAAAGAAGAAATTGGAATTTTACAGGGAACATAAAGAGGAAAGAGGGCTTGGAAAAGTAAACACTCACACGATATGCTGAAGGACAGACGAAAGCGTTGAATAACCAACCAACAGAGATTTTGTAAATGGATGACAGTGCAGGGTTTAGGAGAGAAAGCCAAAAGACAAAGATTAATAAGAGTTAGAAATTACAAAAAGTTTGTTACTAAAGTTGTGAAGGCACACGTCACATTAAAGACGAAGAAGAAGAAACAGAAGAAGACGAAGAAGAAGAAGAAAAAGGAAAAAAGAAAAAGAAGAAAAAAGATCTCGTTGAAAATAATCATTGTTTGAATTTTCTCTCTTCGTTTAGAACGTTTTCTTTTTATTATATTGTCTAGAAAAGACAGAATTCAAGCTGAACAGAGTAACAACGAATATGACGATATTAGCCAATCAGGTTGCGCTAAGACTACATTTTCATTTCGACAAGAACCACGTATCTGACCTGTGAATCCCCCCAATCACTTTTCGCACACCTGCCAGAGATTTGTTTTTGCCGAAAAGAAGTGACTTGCAGGATGGATGAGGTTATTGAACATGACGAGCAACATCGATTACCCTTGTTCGTGGCTGCTACTGACTAGTTAATGGATTGAAAGAGGCGGTAACATGTCTCGCCTGAAGATGGAGAGAGCAAGTCGGCAAGGGAGAATCAGAAAAGAGACAGATAGAAGGACGAACATGTCTGCCTTTGAAATATATTGTCCAATCTCTGCGACACAAATCATCGCTTAATCCTTTTCTCTTTTACATTTGTGCGTGACAACTTGTTCTTTTCCATCCATAAAGACAGCTTACAAAAGAATACCAAAATAATAAAAAGACAAATGGAGTTTCATATATATATATATATATATATATATATATATATATATATATATAAATGATAGAAATTGAGGAGGATTTGAGATAATTCTAGACTCGATGAATTACATAATATATATATATATATATATATATATATATATATATATATATATATATATATATGTGAAAAGTGTATATAAATATAAATAAAATATATATGTATAATCATTTATATATTATATGCGCGGGACTTTTTTAAAACATTAATCAGTTTGTCTGACGATCGCTAAAGCGTGAAATTTAGGGTCACAAACTCACATCTATCCAACCAAATATATATATATATATATATATATATTATTGGATAGATATGAGTTTGTGACCCTGGGTTTCTCGCTTTAGCGATCGTCAGACAAACTGATTAAACTGATTATTTTTTTAAAAATTTTGGGTTTATGTAGATTGCGTGTATTGGTGTTATTATGGAAGTGGCGGGGGAAACGTCGTCGTTGTGTCATCGTACTAACGCAAACATCGATGTATGTTCATACGCCTAATGGAGTACGCAGACACATATGCATACTTGGTCGTCCGTCGGGACTCATACATATATAAACATATGTGGGCAGTTTCGTATATACGTGTGGTGTTGTGTCTATACATACGCATTTGTATGTTGAAATTCAAAGATTGGAAGTGTAGCGAAAATTTCTCGTGAATGTCTCGTGAATGTATACATGTCATATTTTTATTTTTCCACTAAATAATATTTCCTCGCATGTATGTATATACGTGTGGTGGGGTTTGTGTAAAATTATGATAGGTAAACATTTTGAAAAAAAGGGGGTTTATTTGTTATATATAAAGCTGGTTATTTGTTTGTTTTTGATGACTGTATATATAACAGGTAGAAATTTCGGTTTGTAATCCTTATTGCTTATTTTATATGGTGATATTTAATATTTAATATGCTGGGTGAGAGGGTAGTTTTTGTTAATAATTATAGCGGGTCTATATGATATGATGTGACAGTAATGTTGTAAGGGATTGGAGACAATGATAATATAATTAGCTAATAGTTATTGTAAATTGGTAGAAGTGATTAGTAACGGTGGTGGGAGAATGATAAAACCATAAATGTAGTTATAGTGGTGGTAGCTTGCACTAAAAAGTGGTTGTTGGTGTTTTATTTTATTTTGTTATATGTATTAATTTATTTTGGTATAAATCTTGATAATATGTACTCTGTAGAATTATGATAGTTGAAGATTGCTATAATTTTTAATTTCAAATTTACGAAACAAAATTATTGTTATTATATTAAAGCTGGTTATTTCCTTGTTTTTTTTTTAGTTTTTTGATGACTGTGTATATGTGACTGGTATAAATTTCAGTTTGTTATCCTTATTGGTTATTGTTATGGTGGTATTAAATATGCTGAGAGAGGGAGTAGTTTACGTTGATAATTATGGCGGGTTTATATGGTAATGGTAAATGTGGTGTGATAGTAATGTGTAAGGCGGTTAGTGTCAATGATAATATAAGTGGTTAATATTTATTGTAAATTGTTAGTAGTGATTAGTAATGTTAGTGGGAGAATAATAAAATCTATAAATGTAATTATTGTGGTGCTAGCTTGAACTAAAGAGTGGTTGTTGGTGTTTTATTTTATTTTCTATATTTATTTGTTTATTTTATTTATTTTGTTATGAATCCTGGTATTGAGTATTTATTCTCATGGCTATATATGGAAATATCTGATCTTATTGATTTTTTTTGTTTGTTTTGAAGGTATTAAATATGCTGGGGGAGTAATATACGTTAATGATTATAGTGGATTTATATGTTAATAGTAGATGTGATGTGTAAGTGATGATGTTGGGTGTTGGTGGTAATGGTAATATTATTAGTTAATAGTTATTGTAAAGCGGTAGAAGTGATTACTAATGGTGGTGCAATGATAATAACGATAGATGCAATTATTGTGATGGTATCTTGAAATTAAATTGTGATTGTTGGGGGTTTGTCTGTTTTACCCGTTTGGTATGAATTCGTATAATAGGTACTTGTTCTCATGCCTACATTTGGAGATTATCTCTGATTTTTTGTTTAGTAAGTTCTTTTGCGGTTTGTGAGATATTATTGCTACTTTTTCGTGTAGGCAAAGTAGGCATTTTTTTGTAATGTTGTAGGCAGGGGCTTTTTTCAATATTTCCCAACTTATTGTTGGTGTGATGTTTTTGTCTTTTTGTTTCCATATTTATGTAGAAAGTGTGGTGCTGTTCGAATATTTCCTGTTGGTAAATGAAAGGTTGTTATTGTTATTCCTCATCTTGAATGGACCTTCGGTGGCACCGATGTAGTGCATTATGTTGTTGTTTGCACTTACCTTGGCCTTGTATATTGTGTTTGTAAGTTGACAATTTCCCTGGAGTGGATATGTTGTTCTGTTTTTGCAGTTGCATATTGGATCCTTGGTTTCATTTTTGTAGGTTGTCATTTTTTTGTTGTGGCTTTTGATTATTTCTGTTATGTTTTTTGTGAAGCTGTAACTGATCTTTACGTTATTTCTGTTAAATATTTTTGATAATTTGTTTGTTTCAGTGAAGTGTTTTTTCTATTAAGTTTAGGAATATTTTGCCTATGTTCGTTTTAACGGTTTTGTTATATGGTGGATTAAACCAGATAATGTTTCTCTTTCTGTCTTTGCGTTTTGGCTGTGGAGGTATATATTGTAGTTTTGCGTAACCACTTGCGTTTAGTGCTTCGTTGTATGGTGCTTTTTTGCTATTGAAAATGTATATGTTAGATGAGTTCTCAGATAGTCTGCGGCTGATTGATTTTGGTATTTGTTTGATGATAGAAGGTGGATGGTTGGAGGATGTGTACGTAAGTTGGGGTGTCATTTTCTTTTTTGTACGGTTTCTATATATATATATATATATATATATATATATATATATATATATATATGTATAT